TGGGGACCCATCCCCCCTGCCCCTCCAAACCCCCCCAGCCCCGCTGTGAGATTCCCGTGGGAATCCAGCCTCTCCCGGGCTGAGGACGTGGCTGGGGGACCCAGGGGTCAAGGCCGGGGTCCCGGGGGTCCCACCCTGACTCTGGACACCCCAGACAGCCCCCAGCCCCCACGGGGAGACCCCTGCGCTGGCCCCATCCCCCCCCCATCCCATGGGGGACCCTCGGTGAGCCCAGACCACCCCCCCAATTCCCAGGACACCCGGAGGGGCCCGGGGTGGGCTCGGGCCGTTCTCACCCTGCCCCGCCCCCCCGGAGGGACCGTGGTCACATTCGGGACAAAGGGGGCGGGGCCACGGCGCTGGTGGCACTTGGCGACGGTCCCCAGCTGTCCCCCCCCGCTTTGGGACTGTTTTAGCCCCCCCCAAACGCGACACCCGGGGGGGGGGGGGGAGCTGCAGCGCCGCCTGAAGGCCCCGGGGGGAACAGCAGCAGCCAGAAGGGGAGGGGGCGAACTTGGGGAGGGACACACGATTTTGGGGGTGCAAAAGTCACCCCACCCCCCGGCGCCCGCCCTCACGCGAGGCCCCGCCCCCAGCGCCCTGGGCACGCCCTCGCTGTCCTGATTGACAGTGGGGGGCCCGCCTGGCCACGCCCCGCGCCGCGCCGCTGGTCGCACGCCACGCCCCCCGCCCGTTCAGGGCCCCGCCCCCGCCGGTTTTGGGGTGACCCCTTGTCCCAAAAGCGGTTTGGGGTGACGCTCGTGTCCCCCCCAGAGCAAGCTGCCCGCATGAAGAAGCTGCAGGAGCAGGAGAAGCGCCAGAAGGTCGAGTTCAGGAAGAGGGTGAGTGGGGGGCCGTGCCTCGCCGGGCGTTCCGGGCCCCTCCCCGCGGGCCCCCCACAAATTCCGGGGCTGCCCCGGGCTGCCCGTGTGTCCCCAGATGGAGCAGGAGGTGTCCCAGTTCATCCAGGCCACCGGCGAGCCCCGGCGCCGCTTCCAGCCCATGAACAAGATTGAGAGGAGCATCCTGTGAGCGGGGCCCTGGGGGATACTGGGAGAACTGGGGGGCACTGGGGGGCACTGAGGGAGTACTGGGAGGGCACAGAGGGCATACTGGGGGGGGGCACTGAGGGCATACTGGATACTGGGAGAACGGGGGGGCACTGGGGGGCACTGAGGGAGTACTGGGAGGGCACTGAGGGCATACTGGGGGGCACTGGGAGGGCACTGGGAGGGCACTGGGGGGCACTGGGAGCAATGGGGGCACTGGGAGCAGTGGGGGGCACTGAGGGAGTACTGGGAGGTCACTGAGGGCGTAGTGGGAGGGCACTGAGGGCATACTGGGAGGGCACTGAGGGCATACTGGGGGGCACTGGGAGCAGTGGGGACGCTGGTGGTGTCAGCCTTGTGACAGCATGGGACACTGAGGGACACGGCGATGGGAGGGGACACTGGGGGACACCGGTGGCACTGCGTGTGCTGGGGTGGGACGCTGGAGCCACGGAGGGTGGCAGCACCCCTCGGGGACCCTGCTGGGGACCCCCAGTGCCAGCAGCAGCCCCGTGTCCCCCCCCCCAGGCACGACGTGGCCGAGGTGGCCGGCCTGACGTCGTTCTCCTTCGGGGACGACGAGGACAGCCGCTACGTGATGGTGTTCAAGAAGGTGGGCGGGGGGGGGGGAGGGGGATGGGGGCGCACAGAGGGGGTGATAAAGCACCTGGTCGCCTCCTCTGCTGGTCCTTGTGTCTCTTTTGGGGGGGCTGGTTGGGGTGAGGGGGGCACCCCCACGTCCCAGATTGTGTGCGTGCGTCCCACTCCCCAAAAAAAGCACAGCTCAGGAGCTCCTGGTGCTTTACAAAGTGATTTGGGGCGGGGGGAGCCCCTTGGTGGGGGGGCCCCGCTGCTGTTCCCCTTCTTTTTGGCCTTTGGGATTTGGAATTTGTACCCTCCCAAGTTGACCTTGTCCCCCGGCGCTGCCTCGACCCTGGCAGGGACAGGAGCTCCGTGGGGCGATGTGGGGGTGGTCCAGGGGCCAGCAGACATGGGGGGGGGTCTGGGGAAGAAGGGGGACACACGGGGACAAGGGCGCTCCTGGGAGGTGACCTTTGGCACGAGGCCTTTTCCCAAGGAATTGCCCGGGTGGGCACAGAGACCCCGGTGCTTTTCCACGCGGGGATTTGCAGCAGGGATTGCGCAGGCCCGGCCTGGAGGGGTTCCCTGGTTGGGGTTTCCACAGGTGGGATTCTCGCAGCAGTTTGCGTGTGCGGTCACACCTGGGGGGCCTCTGCTGCCGGGGGGGTTCCCACCGGGATGGATCCCATAACCAGGGGGGCTGCCCAGGGGTCTGTGAGGGTCCCACCTGCGGGTCCCACCTGCGGGTTGGGCACTGCCAGGTCAGGATGTGCCCGGATCCACTTCCAGCCCTCCCGGCCAAAGGGCTCCTGAGCTGACAGCGCTGCGGAGCCAGCACCAGCATGGCCCAGTCCCCTGGGGGTGGGAGAGGGATGGGGACCACCCTGGGCACAGCCCCCAGCTGCCCTCCCTGTGTCCCCCAGTTATCCCCCAGTCTGCTCCAGTTCATCCCCGTGCCCTGCACTGCCTCCTGCTCCTTCTCGGTGTCGCTCTCCTGCTTCCCAGTCCTCTTCCAGTGCCTCCCAGTTTGATCCCAGTGCTGCCCTTGGCGAAGCTGTGGCGGAGCTGTCCCCCCGTGGGGAGGCGCTGGGGATCCAGGGGGGGATTCGGAGCCCAGGTCGTCTTCACCCTCGTGACAGAACTCGTGGCTGGGTCCCCAACCTTCCCAGTGGCTGCTTCC